AATACTCGTCAGCGGATCGATCTGACGAGTATCAAGTATCGCGCGAACAACGTGTCGAAATTCGGTCTTTGCCCCCAAACCCGTTAAATACAAAATCGCGAATCCCCGACCCCTAAGACATTTCGTTCTGTTTCGTAAGTATACTCACACGAGTGTCAGTAAAATCGGCAATTTTTTCATTCGATTCAATGCAATTTGGAGAACTCTTCATCGTGCCTGCTCGCCATTAGCACGCGTACGGTTTCCCTGCAGCCATTCAGGGAATCCAAAGCAGGCGGTTCACCGAGTATGTATAATTTATTCGTTAGAATTGATAATCTTCGAGAAACACCGACTATGTCTCGAGCGATTGAAAAATTCGCGCAAGTTGCATTTCATGGGAAGGGGGACATCCCAGTTGTGGGCATCGTGCGTGTTAAGCTACACACGTGTTCGTTATAATCGATGTATCTTTGCCTCGGTGCCTCGATCAATCAATGTACGTAAATGCATCGTTGACGTTAGCATGTTAATATGTCACCGACCGTGCATTTACGATTCTCTTGAACGCACACACTTATTCTTACGATCTAATGCTACGTATATATATATACAATTTTGCGCTAGACAAAGGGGTAAATAATAATGTTTTGGTTATCTATAGATTTCTTAAAACGTTATCAACATAGATACTCTTCCGTGTTACATTTAACTCGTTGTTCCATCTAAAGAATGCAGGAAACGAAATACGCATCGCTACTCTGTATACTCAGAAGTATATCTGTCTATTTATTGTTCCTCTTCTTCATTTTGGTACGTTACGTAGCGCACAGACGACTTTTCGCCAATTATCAACGACTAGAAGACGAGATTCATTGTTAATACAATTGAACGAGCTATGGTGTTAATTACGAATATTTCTGCAGATAAAAAGATTTTACCTTCTTCTCTTCTTTTGTCGGTGGTGCTCGCAAGAAGTACATCAGTGGTGCGTAAATAAAATTCAAAATAGCAATGCCAAATAACATCCATTCAAAGCCGATACTGTTCACTAACGTACCGCTCAAAGCAGGTCCTGATGATAGTGAAGATTAGTGATCACAATTCAACGTAGAGTTAATCAATATATTCTTCACATACGTACCAATGGCGAAACCTAAACAGAATGCAACATCTCCGATAGCATATACACTTCCATAGACAGCGGTGTGTCGTATGTCGACTAAATATCCTAATTCCGGCATCATCGAGCTATCCACCATACCGATAGCAAATCCCAAGCCTGCATTAGGTACGATCAAATGATCGATACTTCTCGCCAGCGGTATCTGCGAAAAAAAATCGTATAATATTAAAAAAAAAAAAAAAGATGTCTTTCGATGGAATAGCAACATCGCGTCCGATAGAAATTAAAAATGGAAATACTTACACACATCAAGCAAATGCCAATCACGACGAGCCCGATCAACGCGGCTAACCACCTGCAATAAACAGAAAGAAATATTCGCAGGGAAATTGTAAAGTACGCGTTACAATTTCTTTTTGCAGATGAAAGAAACCTCTGTTTATGGGAGTCATATATCGTTTTGTGTGATATGAAAATATTAGAATAATATAATAGACAGATATTAGAATATAAATATTCGCAGTCTACAAATAAGGAAGAAGATCGCTAGAAAAATAATTGATAATAAAAGAAAAAGAAAAAAATTTAAATTCCGCCCGAACAGGGACTCGAACCCTGGACCCTCAGATTAAAAGTCTGATGCTCTACCGACTGAGCTATCCAGGCGATGGTAATCACGGGCTCGTTTGTCCGCTGCTAGTTGAATTCTCACAAAATGCAAATTATTGAGCAATAATGTAACATTCAATGGTAAACATTAAGATATGCTCGTGAAAGAAAGATATTTATAGCTTGGTATTTTTACCCACCTGCCCATTCTATGCCCGAGTGGCCCGAAAAGATTAGTACCGATTAAATAACTGATGCTGGCCGGTAGGAACGTGGCACCTTGTTTCCATCTACTCGCACCCATCGTGTCCATCATCCAAATAGGAAGGCTAGGCTCTAACATAGCGATACCCATATTCGCGAACGTGATAGCACCTGAAAGATAACAAACAACGCGTTAAATAGGCGGTGGATGAAAGGGAAAAATGAAGCAAACGTACCAGCGGCCAAAGCGATGTAAGGATCGGTGATCAGAGATTTCAGAGATGGTGGGTCCGCTTCAGTGTACACGACAGATGGTTGAAGCACCAGAAGTTGCAAAACTGGAAAAGAAATGGCATTCGAGGGAATTGATGGAACAAAAGACAAACGTACAATGGAAATGGGAAGGAAAAAAGAGAGCAAACTAACTTCCGTCACCAAGAGCCAATGCCGAAAGGATTAAGAACGGTGCAGATTTCCCGACGAATTCGTACATCACACCACCAAACGGTGGCCCGATGAGAACACCAAGAGCCAATCCACCGAGTGCGATACCCATTGCGTTACCGCGTTCCTTGTCGTCCTGGTATCTTTCGGCCAGCATTCCCATCCCTATAAATGGATCGATCGAAATAAATAAATAAACTCAAACATTGCAGGATGATTGTAGGATCAGGCATGAATGAAACAGATAGGCAATATGATTGTTTAACACGTTCCGTGCCACCGGTGGTACACGTTAAACTTGATCTTCAGGCCACGTGTACCA